CAGCATTCATTGCGCGAGACATACGGAGGGAAAGACGTCTTTATTGAAAAGTTGCTTCGCTACAGGTCGTGTAATTTAACTGTGTACGATGGGAAATACCAAGAGACGAATATGTGAAACGTGGATTTTTGCGAAGCGTTCAGCCGAGCTCTTCGAGCCATACACTTTCACCAAGTCTCGGAACGATACGTCAAATACGTATCGACATTAATTTTGTCTCGAAAGATATCTTCTTGACGTTTCATAGCAGGCTGCGATTTTGTAGTTGCGTTATATTATATAGTAACAATTTAGCTCTGAATTTAATTCTATATTTTTATACTAAAATTAATAAGACGTTTACATTAAATTATTTATAAATTGCATATGTTTTATCTGCGACAATTTGAATGCCATAAACAATTAAGAATGTTAAATGAGTCTTTGCCGTAACTATAGGTATAGATTGCAAGCTGCATTTATCGTTCTATTTCGAACACGTTGATTGACATACGTGAGACACATTCAATTGAAGTCACTTCCCAACTATGTGCCGCGATTGACTTTTGGACAGAAATACCATATGCGGACGTGATATCGAAACCGAAATAGCTCTCGCCCTTAAACTGTCACAATAACGAATTATTGTGGAATCAGGTGTTCGTTCTACTTTGAATGTTCCAGAAAGCGTGCGTTCTTTGTCTCATAAAATCTATGTGATTTATCCATAATTAATATATAGGCATACACTTGTCGTGAATGTATATCGTAACATAAGTTACACAATTAATTTATAAAATTGTATATTTAAGAAATTACAATTTTTTTATGGTATATAAAATATATAACTCCATAATATATTAGATTTGTTATAAATTATATTTTTTACTTGTCAAAAAATTTATATTTTTTAAATAAAATGTGTGTTGTGTATGCGTTGCACGCTGAAACACGTCCATGAATTTTTACCAGAAGTTAAGAGTTAATTCGCCAGATTGTTGGTACAAGTTAAGAATTTGACGTTTCTTGCGATTAGTAGTTTGAAGTCATTTCCGTAGAAGTCGCACGCGCAGAAAGGTTTTTGAACTCGCGAGCTAAGAATCCAACGGATGCGTTATGCACGAGAGAGGAAGATGCATGCCCAGAAAAAGAGGCGGAAGGAACGAGAAACGGCGAGAGGAAGAAACGCGGGAAGGGAGGAAGATAAAGATGTTCGGCATTTCCTTTCGTCGCGCACGTGGTTTAGAAACGTCTACGCTTCCGTTATTTTTTCAGAAAACAATGTCGGACAGAGTCCCGGTCGGGTTGAATCTTTTTGACTTTCTATTTCCGGTAAGAAGCTCTTCTCGACGAGTTCAGGAACGATCGATAGAAAAATATAGCCGCTAATAGTACCTCTCGAAAGGGTTCAACAGTTTGATCGACAGACTTTTTGCCGTCAATTTTGATGGCGCTCTTCTAGTCAAGAGACTCGAGGCGCGCGCGTACCTGGCTGACTTTAATATTCAATGAATTTTTATTCTACCCGATAGAGAGATGACAGAAAATTAAAAAAAAAAAAAAAAAAAAAAAAAAATCGCGAAAAAATCGAGGAAACGACTTTGAAGTAACATTTGAATTAAAGCGGAATTTACGCTTTGACGCCCACGCGCGCGATGCTCTTAATGGTTATAGTTTTTTACGACTGCTACTAAATTCCTTTAATCAGTAGAACTACGACTGCATTCGCAAGTTCTTCGTAATGAATCGAATTTTTTTTCTTTCCTCTTCCCTCTTATTTGTCATGAATTATTTCCGACCATGATTAAACTTTGCGAAAAGAAATCTGGCTGTTCCCGCGATCGGTTGTTAAAAATTAAGGAGATGGATTTCTGCGAATTGCGATAGATAGATACGCGGAACGCGGCGAATACCCGTCAAAAATTAATACCCGTGATTAAACTTATGTCCGTATATAAAGTAGAAAGAAATAGTACGACAGTAAGGTATATTAATCGCGCACGTGGATGTTATTTTTAGATCAATTCTATGCTCGGCGCGTTTTACGTTACTTGGAGCACTTGCAGGAGGTTCAACTGTGACATGTGGCTTATGAAAACCGCCTGATAAATTGAAAGCTCTAAATTTTTAATTCCGGAAAATTGTTCCCACACGCGCGCGTCTTTCCTAGCGTAGACAGTAGAAGTTACTTCCCGGAACTGCCATCGCCTTTAATACATGCTAATCCGTTGTCACTATAACTCGCGAGTTTTCAACTCTAGTCTCTCCCTCTCTCTCTCTTCTCTCGCGTTGAATCTCCCGCGGGAATAACATTTCCATGATCGATCGCCGATCGCGGTTAAGAGGCGTATTAATTGCCCGTCGATCGGTACCTCTAATTATCGGCATGCACCGCGCGCGCTGATTAATTACTATCGGCTGCCCATGGGTGGTAACCAAAGTGAGATCGATGTTCGACCGAAGGATTCTCTTTAATTCGAGTCGATCGAGTGATTATTTTTCATTCCGGCGTCCGCGGCTCCGTTACTTTGCATTTTTTACGGCATGTTCTCTTTTCCATATGCTTATCTTCGAGATATTAGTATTTTAATATCCCGTGGCTGAGAGATTCTTCCTCGACTGTTGAACAGATTATTTAAGACACGATTGTTCAAGTTTAACGCAAGTATTTTTGTGTGGCGTAATTTTACTCTCGAGAATTTATTTTTCCCGATATTGGTAAATAATTACATCGAACTTTTTAATTCACTATTTTGATTGCATCAATTTAAGTTCTCGCGTGTTTGTTCTCAAAGTTCACGTTTCAAACGAAAAATGCTGCTTCTAAAAATTTACAATATCTACATCGCAAGTTGGATATTTCCTTTCTAAGGAAGAATCGCGATGAAACTGTAAACAACAACCTAGCTTGCAAGTACGATTTTCGCAAACTTTGGCAAAACTTTGAAAGACTTCTTTTATTTTCGCTTAAAAAGCATTAACGCACAGAGTGGAAGAAGAATTTCTTGCTACGAGCGCAATTCCGTTAAAGAGAGAGATAGAGAAAGAGAGAGAGAGAAAGAGAGAGAAAAAATTTGAAAAGACACACGCGGACACTGCAGGAACGCCACTAATTTGCGAACTCGACAACTTTTCGAGTTTCGAGATTCTCGCGTTTCCGCGGCCTGTGTCCTTTCGTCCGTCTTTGTCTTTTTTAAAACGTGACTCACGGAGAGTTCATTAGCACCTAGCCACGTGCCATCGGTTGAACGACGACGAGCCGAGCCGGGCCGGGACAGTCTCGAAAGATAGAGAGAACGCACTTGAGATTTGGTCTCGCCCGAGTACGATTGTACTGCCAATGGGACAGAGAACGACTATCCGAAGATAATTCCATTACTATTGTCCCTCTTCATTGTTATTCCCCGCCGGTACGTGCGGGCGACTCTCTCTCCGTTCGAGTCCTCTTCTTGGATTTCCCGTTCGATTACGGAGGGATTTTGAGGAGAGTCACGTCTGCCGGCGATGCGCCCGAAATATGGCGTAAGAATCCCGGAGTGCTCGCACACACAAAGATTGCTTCAAATTGCGGTCTTACGCGATATTTTCTCGTCTTCGCGCTTCGTCGTAGACATTGATTCCCTTTGTCGCACGGAAAATCGTTTCGATCATCACGGGAAATTACTATTAGGACCGCTGGGATATTCTCTTGGGATTGCTTTTTTTCCCGCGATATTCTATTTGAATAATATATTCACGCTCTTGAACATTTCTCTTTGTCAAAAAATTTAATGCCAAATATATTACACTTTCGAACTTTCAGTAAGAAAATCCATCAAAGTTACTTTTGGAATTAAAATTTCATGCGAGAAAATGGACACTTGTCATAGGGAGTATGACGATGATATTAATATTTTCTCTCGACGTTCGATTTATCGTGAATTGTCATTATTGAGTAATGCATTATAGCTACTAAATAGTTTTTTGATTACCGAGATCCATTTAGCAGTTAACCGACACGCACGACTTTTGAAATTTTTCCACTGCGCTATGTGATTTCAGTAATCCGATATATAGATGCGTTGTGCCAATTATATCCGCGACCATGCTTAATTCTGCTGCTTATCAATCGAGGAACGCATCTGGCGGTTTGGTCACGAATGCACGGAATTTAATTAATAACACTGTTATCGCTGTCCGTCGTTCGAGAATTTCACGGGCAATTGACCTATTCAATCATTTCGGTCTAATTTTAGAACTTAATACATATATATCGCAACAATATCATTTATCAGCTGCAAATGGAAACGTTCTATTTAAAAAAATATTTAGCGACACAATTTGCGCAATGAGAGAGGCAGGCATTGGGGAATCACATCGCAACTTAACAATCATTTATTCAGCTCAAATTCCCAAAGTTCGTTTATTTAGCTCTCGGAATAGCCGCGCAAACTTCCACGCACGCATACGAAATTACCACGTGCTTTCGGGTAACATGCTGCCGAAGTTCATTAGCACCGCCACGCGCCAATGGCCACGGCCGTTGCACGCTGACGCCGAATACTATCGAAGGGGCCTTCGGAGGTTGGCAGGATAAGGGGAGAACAAGATTGACTGTGCAGAAAAAAAGTCCTTCTTTTGCACGTTATATTCATACGAGCGTCAACGATCGTCAAATTCCATCCGTAAGGAATTTCGCGACACGTCGACGAGCCCCGCTTCCTCCTCCGGCCGTGTGTTCTCCTTGCATCGGTAAAAAAGACACGAACTCTCGTTCGCGTCGAATCCAATTTCGAGGTTCGTTGACCCGCGTTTTGCGATTGTTGCGTCTCATTTTCATGATCAGATAGATTCTTGACGCGCGCGTATTTTTTTTCGCTTGACGGATAAATCGTGATCCGCGTTCAACTTACATACTTTTGAAATCTTCTTCTGGATATACCTATTGCTATATGTGTTTTTGTACAATAATAATAATAACGCAAATAAATGTATAATATATATTTTTTTTTAATTAATTTTTGATATTTCTTTTGTTACAGATTGAACAATGCAGTGCAGCGAGCAGTTCTCCAGTTAAAGTGAGTACTTATGGAATAGTCAATATTCAGGAATTTGTCTGGAGATTGGGATAATTTTGCGAGTATATATATATCGGAATGCCACACAACGCAATGTTATCTATAGTTTAAAAATTAAACAAAATTATTTGACAACAAAATCTATTTTGACATTTGATTACAATAAGAAGCTTCGAACAATCTCTTTTCTTTCTATATATTTCGAGTAATTTTTTTATGATAATATGTTTTGTTCTCTATGTTTCACAATATCGTTCGGTCGCTTGATATTAAGTGTTCTATCGTGCACGGTTATATACATGCTTCGTATCGTCTTCGAGTGGCGCCGGGAAATGCAATCGCAGGCGTATCGAAAGTAGGCCATCCCTTAAGAGCACCACTCTTCTCGGGGGTTGAAAGGGGTTGGTGGAATGGCGTTCGCTAAAGGACGCGATGAAAGAGAAGCTCGTACAGTCAGTTGTGTACGTCCTGGTACTTCTCTGAAGAAGAGCCCTCTGAGTGATGCTCGAAAGTCTCTCTTACCTGTTAGAAAATGTCCGTGAAATATGTATGCTTATTTTCGCTTTACCGAATCCGCTAATTGGCTAAAAATACTAACCGCACTTGAGAGCATTCGCGACATTGCAACTTTGCACAAGCTGATAACAAGCTAATTGATCAATGCTTTATATTTTTTTATCACCTTAAGTAATTAAAAATTCTATACTTATGAAAAACACACACATTATTAAGTGATTATTATAATAGTCAAAATTTAAAATATATATGAGATACGTAAAATTTATTAAAATTGGGGTTCTCTCTAGAATACTTGTACAGTTTAATCATTTCAGTTATTAAATGTGAAATATCGTTCGGTATTAATAATAACTTTTGTTCGATTCTGAAGAATCCGGTGTAGCAAGGCTTTCGCCGATCCTTGAATTGCTATAGAAGTGACATCCCCATACTTTTCACCCCTTTCACGCGCCTGCCTGCGTCTCGCCGTAAAGTATGACGCGCGAAGTAATTTTAATTACGCGATGCAGCGGCCCTGAATTGTTGCTACCTCGGGGACCTCAGACATATTGAACTAATTCACGTCATTCAGGCGACACTTATTAAACCCGGGAATGCCGTTGGTAAAATGCAGGATGGAGCTATACGGAGAGGGTGAAAGACGTGGCGACGTCCGCGTGCGCGATAAACATCTTTGAGAAACAACTGCTCCTTTAAATTAAAAATTGTTAAACTATATATCTTCGAATCGCAAATCTGTGTTAATTTTCGTCTTAGAAAAAAAAAACGTCGAATTACCTGTTGACAGCGGAAAGTCAAAAGGAAAAAAGAAGCCGATCTCATATTCCGATACGATTTCACACCGCGGTAATTAGAGCCACGCACGTCGAGCATATTAAAAAGCCATCGTCGAAAAACATAGTAAAGAGAATGAAGAATGGGTAGGAGGAAAGAGCAAAACGAAGAAGTTCTCCTGTAATAATCGCTCCGCTTCGGGCTTCGGTAACGAAGGCGAAACAAAACGCTGCGCGATATAATCGGCGAATAATAATCGGTGCTGCCGCGTTGTTATCGGATGGGCATAACGAGCGCTATCCTTAGGCTTTAATGAGCGCAAGGCCCTAGATTAATATAACGACCCGCTTGGTACCGGAACCGTGACAGACCGTGCATAGGGCCCCGTGACGTGACACCGGTAATCAGACTGCCGTGACGATTTTAAACGACACGCGTTGACACGGGGAACGCTTTCCCACTAATATCCGTAAACGATTGTTTCGCAATTAGCGATAAATTATTAATTAATTACCAAATGCGACATGAATACTCGCAACTTAGTCGATAGTGTTAGATAATAGCCTTGGGGCTGCTTAGACGACGATCGTGAATTAACGATCCGCTTTTGTCCTTTCCCATTCTCCATGTTTCGCTCAAAATATATTGTACGAATAGAGAGAGAGAAAGAGAGAAACGCGACATCGATGTGAATTAATAGTATGCTTCTTGATTAAAATTATCAACTGGTAATTAGCGATTAATTAAAAGATCGTCTCTTAAGCGGATACTACTTTGTGCCGTGGCAACGGGCAAAGATCTCGCGAATCAGTTGCTAATTGGTCGTAATTAGTGACGAATACTTAATTCTCGATGTTATCACCGATCCCGCGATCGTCATAAGTTTTGACAGGTTAATCGCTGCGCAAATAAAAAAAAAAGAAAATAAGGGAAAAAGAGGAGTAATTAGATACTTGCGGAGAAAACGAGGTCTCTCGTTTTCTTTCTTTCTTGTCGCTCCTTGCTTGGGAGATTCATTAATTAATAGCGCCCGTATGCGCGGAACGATATGATGTGCACGTGGCGCGTCACTGTGTCACGACATAATTTCGATCGTTAACGCGTTTTGGAATAATTCTTTAATTAATTTCGTCACGTAATTAAAGTTGCAGATATATGAATAATTTTACAATTTTTCTTACGTATATCGTAAGAAGTATCTCTTCTCGCGGAAATAATCATTTTGCTATTATTCTGACTCTGTAAGAGAGATAATATTTTTTGAAAATCCATATAATCGTCTACTTGAGATAATTTTCAAATGTCGACAGATTATTGAAATATCTGTATTAATCATACCATGCCGGTATTAAAATCGATGGAAGAAAAAAACATTTCTCACCGCATCAGCGACGGATCTAGGGAGATTTTCTGCTGCAACATCGCGTAACAGTAGTAGCGAGGAATAATGTGCAGTTTGATGCAGCCGGTACATGCGGTTCGAGACGGCACGCAAGTCTGCACTAACATCAGGCTTTATACGTCGTTTCCGGAGGGTGGGCGCACCGACTTCCCTTCTTTCCGAGTCACCTTGTATGCTCGATCTTGTTCTTCTTTTCCTGTGTGTATGCATGGGTAAGCGTTGCGCTACGATGCGTTGCGTCGGAGTAAAGAAAGGATGCTGTCTCCCTTTCTGCCTCTCTCTCTCTATCTCTCTTTTCACAGCGACAATTTTATCGCAAACTCGCGCCTTTACCTATCTCCGACGTTATCGTCATCTCGTGATATTTTTCAGATTAAGCATACATATTCGCGCAAACATATACACATTTGAATTTCATCATCTTGTATTTAACTTCCCGGAGATTACCAGGTATAATTTGTGTAATTATCGACGGCCTTGATGCACCGAAGCGCATTGCAGTCGAACAATGATAATTATCTTAGATTTATCTTCGCGCTGTGGCATTCAGATACAATTTTTTTTTCATCACCTAGCTATTGAACTCACGACATTTCACTATTAATTCGCCTAAGTATCACTCGCAAAATTACCGCAATCTGATTATATGTAGCATTTTTTAATTCTTGGAAGTCGGCAATACCGACTAGTTATTAAGTATGTATATCAGCAAAGAATATCGAATTAATAGACATGAAAGGAGCGCACGTGCGTTGTCGCTTTCAAGGCGATTTATCGTGGCTCCGAAAGATCTAATTTCCCGATTGTGATATTTCCTTTATCAACTATACTGTGTTCTAATATTTCTCTTATATATGTAAATGTGGTATAATAATGAGGTACGTATCTATATATATTAGGTCTTAAAATTAATTACGAACCTGAAACGGATCGTTCTGCATGCTCGACGCCCTTTAGATATACGACAGCGTCAGAGCGAAATGATACTTTCGCAGTATCCAGTATATAATTTATGAAAGACTTAGCACACATTACCGTCCGACACATAGCCGCACCGCACAAAGCGCGCTACCAACGCGCAATAGCGCATCCTAATGCGTCATGATGCATAATAATGCATCATAATGCGTCATGGTACGCCATAATGTACGAAAATGATTCTCCACCGGGATAGCAAGGATTTTCTTTATTTCCCCGCGACTATTAAACGCGATTTCCCAGCGCTGTCGCCGCAAAATAATCGCATTTGGTGGCTGTACTAATTATTGACTATCAGCTGTATCCAAGAGCGACGCGAAAAAAAATGTGTATAGTTCGCGGCAATATCTATCACACACACATATATATATATCAGTTAATTTTTCTCTTAAGAGTTTGAGAATTATCGATAACATTTTTCCCGTCTCTCCAATATCGAACGAGTCCCCCCTTGTTTAACCCAATTATAAATAGCTTCCCTTTTCACTTTTTTTACCGTGCGTTTTATTACAGCGATCCGCGCTCGAATTATCTCGTAATTTCCAAAACGAATTCACGCGAAAAGCCATCGGCGAGTCTCCCGCGCGCTCCGGCGATGTATAAAATGCATTTTAAACGCTCACGAGCGCGAACCGAGAGCGTCGCGTCGCGTCGAGCGCGATTTATAGTCCCGCATAGTAATCTCCACCCGCGCTCTCTCTCTCTCTCTCTCTCTCTCTCTGCGTATGTCGCGGACATGATGTATACGTCGTAGTAGCGAGATGAGAGTAGCACGTACCTACATATGACACACACGCGTGGTAGTACGTATATACGTATGTGTGTGGGTGTGTGCGTGAGTGAGTCGCGTGGCGTATGTATACTTCGTTACTGTACGAAAATTCATGGCACAGTATAACTACACGTTAGTCCCCAGAGTTAGTCTCATTATAGAGTCCCCTAAGTACTGATCCAGCCTGTCACACACACACACACCTCTCGCGAGAGCGCTCACGGTATTTACCGCATCCATCTTTCTCTCTCTCTCTCTCTTCTCTCTCTCTCTCGCAGCTGCATCTCTATATCCATACTGTAAAGAAAATTGTTCTGGTACAGTATCATATATGCGCGTCCGGTGCGCCATACAATATTTTCTCGACGGCGTCGGGGGCGATGTTTATCGACTCCTCGAGCTCTCGGCCGAGAAGCGAAACGCGCCGGAAGGAGCCGCGGTAGAAACGCGCGCGGCGCAAATGACGACTTTGACCATGAAACGAGTGACGATTACGTATAATCGCGGAGCCGTCGTGTTTCCCATGGGAATCACCGTCGTAACGTGGTCCTCGCGTGTGTGCTTCGCGTGACATCATCGGTCATACTGTTTTCTAGTCGATGGTCACACGAGGACGTGCTACCGCAGCAGTCGCGCGTCGTGCATGTCTATGAGTCTCGTGAACGATTAAGATTTTAATTGTACATGGTCGATCTTTGTCTGTAAAATAATCCAAGCATATACATATATACATTATAATTCCCATACATGTATACGCACGTGTACAGAAGTTGTTGCATGTGTGTGTATGTGCGTTGTGGATAACGAGTAAATTCCTCGCGCGTGCAATACAGGTTTATAATATAGTTGCGCTCTTGATTTTTCCTCCGTTCTGCTCCACGTTGAAATTACAATCGACGGTAACGTCGACCACGCGGAAACGAAATGTACCCCTGGTTTTTTTTCTCCCGTTTTTTTTTTTTTTTTTCGACGGCGACACAACGCGGCATCGTCGTCATGCGACTCTTATTTTTGTAATTCGCGTACTGGCACGTCGCGTCGTGTAAATTGGATTGGCAGCGGCTCCGCCGCTAGACGTGTTGTTGTCGGTTCTATTAATATGCCAGCGGCGTATGCTATAAATTCTATTCCAACCCACCCCCGGGTACAGCAGCAGCCTTGAGAGGCAAGGACAATCGATCTACCACCCTCCACGTGGACGAAACACGAGTGTACGCCGCACACAAACGTACACATGGACACAGATAGGCATACACATATATATAACATATAGCTACGGGGAAACTATACTGGCGGAAAAATGTGAGCATATATATATATATATACATACACAACGTCTCTCGTATGCATATATACGTGTACACCGCGAATTACCGAGCACAATCCACTTTTTAAAATATTTACTCGCTGGAGAAGCAATCGACCGTATCCTCGCGCGGCCGACGATTAACTCGACTCTTTGTCGGCGGCTCTATATCGAAAATCGTCGGCGCGCGATGCGGTGTTTAGGTACTCTACCACCTGTCGAAATTAATCGTACCACGCTTCTGCGCCCGACTGTGATCTACGTCCGATCCGCTCTAAATCACGGCGCGGATCTAAATGGCGAAACGCCCGCGTATCCACCATTGTGCTCTCGCCTCGATAAATAACCATCCGAGAGAAACAAAAGTCTCTCTGGCACTGTGTGCGCTCCTATAAGGAGAGAAATGAGAATGCGTCTAGAACGAAATATGCCAAAATAATCACCTTTCCAACGCGGGTACTTGGAGATAAATTATAGGCGCAATCATGTCGGAGGAATGATTACGTGCGGTGTCTAGTATTTAATTTTCCTCGGTATGTACACTCGAGAATGTATTATCGTACTTTTCTCGATCAAGAGAGATCCCTCCCTCTTTCTCTCCCTCGGAGCGATTACAATAAGTACGCGAACAATTCTACGATCTGGCTCGCCTCTGTCGCCGCTTCGCCTTTGACCCTTGGGCCCATTAGCATCGATGACTTCCAATTACGCGACGTCAATCCGCCAACGCTGACGTCATCTCGTGTTAGGGCTCCTTTAACGCGCATCCAAAGTGTATTTACGCTTTCACGTACGTGTCCGCGCGGTAGAATCAATCGCGACAAGCGCGTGCCTACACGCGTTAGGCGCAAAACTCTTGGCAAAACACGGCTATTTATAGCGGAGTGTACATATGTGTGTATGTGTGTCCCATTGGCGTAAGCGTGCTCTTCAATTAACGTGAATGCATCCCGGTTGCACCGAATGGCGACAAGTCGCTTGATCTGCGCATCGCGACGTTGAATTGGTTTATAGCCATATATATTTTTACGAGTATTCCAAGCAGTGAACAAGCAGATTTTCGAATGATTAAACTGCATTTTGTTATCAAATGGAATGTTTGCGAAAATATCGAGTTTTGGCGAATCGGTTATTAAATAAAATGTTGCGATAAAAAGCGATATTTCATGCCATAGCGCTTTTCGGAAAGGATTGTGATTCGATATTTGCTCCAAATATTTGTCTCCAAACTCGAAATAATTAGAGGGAAACGCTATCGAGTTAGAAAAATTAATCTTCCAATAAATCCACATTTAATCTGATTGATTTTTATTTGTTTTTCCAATCAATAAGAGCCTCTACATTATATCGGCAATTTTAGAGAAGATTCAAATGCTGTTAATGATCACTGTAATTAATACCTAACTTTTAATACTCATTTGAATATTGAATATGCATAATTAATGTATTTAATGAAACGAATAAACTGAAAAAGAGAGAGAAAATTACCGCGTAAACATACGATAATAACGCGTAATAAATGATTGCATTTACGGAAATGAAAATAATGGAAATAAATTTGGATCGCGAAAGAGACAGAAAGAAAAGGATTTATTCGGCTTTCTGACACCTTTGCAACGTATGCAACGCAAGATGTGACATTCCCCGTTGGATAAGCGTCGCTGGTGTATATCGATGTATCGAAATGTCGATTTCCTTCTCGCCATAACTTTCTCGCGCGCGACGGGTGCGTTCGTGTGAGAACGAAGAATAAACGAACAAACGAATCGATATTACGAATCGGAATATCAAAGATCAGAAAGACAACCCATACACAGCCTCGCTAATCCCGGTTGAAACGCGAGCGCTTTCCCGTACCTATATCGCGACGCAACAACACATTGTACCGTGAATATCGCGATCGATGAACTTTCGAACGCAAGGATGCTCGCGGACAATCAGCCCCGAGATCGTGACGTAAGATAAATCGGCTCGGCTTTATTAAGTGCAAATTTATTCGACTATCGAGAGGCTTCTTTCCATACCGGGAAATGATTTATACGCCTAGTACGGCGGCGTCTTAAAACGCAAAGGCATAATTATTAATAGAGAACAAGTGTTTTAGTTAGCGCAATGTATGAGAGGCTAAAACAATTTATACTAAATTGATTTGATTATGAAATTAAAAATATTGCGTACGTCAATCTTCCCGTTCCTAGCTCGAACGAGATCGAGATAAAATACATGGTCAGCGGTCTCGCGCCAGAACCGCCTTTGAATCAGAATCGTCGTATACGGTTGATTCGGTATCCGCTAGAAAATTCCGGCCTTCACTTGTCACAATTTATACGATGAGACGATTCACGATCACGTGCGTGCCCCGGGGACAGGGAACGCTGGCGCGGAGAAGGCAAATTATTGTCACTTTACTGGTCGGGAAAAGGTATCCTCCCCCTTTGGAGGATGTTGTTATGTTTCTTGCGATTTCATCATTATTCGCCACTCAAACACTCAATTCATTAGTCGGCCTCGCGGACTCGGCGATGATGATCGGCGGCGCTTAACTCTGCCTAGCACCTCCTGGCACTAACGCACTATCTTTCTTCACTCTGCTCCATTATCTGCTCTCTGGCGCCACAACACGCCCCGAAATGAGAATTTAATTCGATGATAACATTAGGAAAGATTCGATAATGCTAGAAAAGAGGGGGCGTAGATATTCTCATTATTTCGCACGTGGTTCTATGATTAAAAAGAATTAATCCACAGAGGAATGAAAACATTTTTCTTTAGTTATTATATAGTTTGATCTATGATGGCTTGAATTTTTTATAAATAATTGCAAATCAAAATGATGCATCACAGTGGTTTAAAATTGAGACTATTGTCATCTTATTTTATATTATTTCTGAGTCTATACGCTATTTTCCTAGAATCTGTCAGAATATTGAAGAACCGAACTCTTATAACATCGTGCAGCAAAGTCGAACGAACGGTACATCCTTATTGGTGTTTGATGATCACTTCCATCGATTCGAGCGATTCACGATTCCATTAGAGATGAGCCGCGCTAATCGCGCGGGTCCGCTCGACCGAATCTTACGCGCTGCATCTGCATAAGAAATGCAAGGAACGAAACGACGGCCGTAATTAACGAGCCAAGTCGAAGTCACGTCATCGCCTGCATCGTGACCGGAAAACTTACAGCGCTGCAATTTTCAGACGATATGTATGCAGGCCGCGATAACGTCCGCCCCGATTTACTCTTGGTCTGGTAATTTATTTGTTATGGCGGGATTAACCTTCTCTCTCTCTCTCTCTCTCACACACTCTCTTTCTCTTTAGATTGCCAGTTTATCCGGGCCGGGATGTGTAGAAGGGATGACGTAAGAAAGAGGGATCCGTGGGAGGGCGGAAGGTGACCGCGAAAAATAAATGACTTCGCGTGTTCACCGAGAGATAGGTGGGTGGCCTCTCTTCCTCAAGTAGGAAGAGAGCGGTATCGTCCTCTTCCTTCCCTCCCCCTTTTCTCTCAGTCTCTTCCTACTTTCTCTCTTTTTTTCTCTCGCGTGCGCCGCTAGATTTATGTCGACGCTTCGCCCTTTCGGTCCTCCGTTGATAATAAATATACCGGTTGTTATCGCGAGTACACCGTGGGAGTGCGAACGAAGGAGAGAAAGAAAGAGAGAGGCAACGACAAGTGCGTACATATTAACGATGCGTGACTTCCGTGACACGCGATAAATGCAAATTCGGGGGAGCCATCCGTGAAAACGGTACCACGTGGCGCTGAATGACAAAGAAACGGAGGGAGGTTTGTATATATGTACGAGAGCATGAATATTATGCCAATTGTCTATATATACGATCGACGTTAATAAAACGCGAGTGGAAGCCGCGTGCGTTCCGCTCGTTATCGTGCGGCTTTTATCGACGGGCGTAAATCCCGTGGCCGCAATTAGCGGGACCACTGATTTTTGATTCATTTATGTTCTCGTCGCCGATAATTAGTCGAATCATCGACGTTCACCGAGGGACGTGTCTCTCCCGCGAGAGAGAACCGGATCGCGAGTCTCCCTTCGACGCGAGTATAACGAGAGAGGAGTCGCATCAAAATCGTATTCCTGACCATTTCCGGAACGCACTTTCCTGCGGAATAATATAACGCTTGGCGCCATGATGCTGCGTTATTGGCCGTTACCGTTGAAGTAATAACGTCCCAGCGCCAAGAGTAGTCGGCTTCTGCTCATGACTGCTTGACGAACGAATAGTTTTCCAATTATCCGGGGGTAATTATTCCGTCTCGTTTCTAGAAACGGGACATATTTTGCGAGGAAAGTACCTCCTGTAGCAATCGTTTTAAAGTTTGATTGTCCGTGTCACTGCAGCTTGTCTCCAAATATTAGGCAGTCGATAATTCACGACAAAAAGACTGGAAAATGGAAAATTTTAGTATTTTTATATTATAAGAGAATTTTATCAATATATTATATAATATTATAAAAGAGAAATATCGTAATGAGTTTTTTTGATTTTACATTTTTATCAATTATTATTCTTTTACATAATATCTTTGTATTTTTATAGAAGGGAGAAAGAAATTTCTGTTATCTCGCTTTACAGAATACTAAACTTTTCTGCTATAACATAATTCTTGTTTATAACTAAATATTCGCTCTATATTCAACCGTGCACTTCGAAAAGACTTGTTTTGCCGGAAACTATCGTATTATGAGACACGAGAACAACAATGTTCGCAGGAAAAATAGCGCGTAGAATCGCGTATAACGGTACAGAAAGAGAGAGACAAAAAATGCCAAAAGAGAGAAAGAGAGAGAAAGAGATAGCTCGCGATATATTCGAATAAAACGATCTCGTGCGGTGGACGACGAGCGTCTGAGCGCAGACGGCACGAGATGCAATTGCAGCGGAAGGAACGTGGAAGAGAAAAGGAAAACGATGTGAGAATAACACTTAAATCGTTTTACGGACTCGTCGTCGGTATAACTATTTCTATCGCCGTCGCGCCGGCACGAGCCGAAACGACACGCGACACGACGACGGGGACCAGACGAGACGAGAGTAGAGGAGGATTTTGTCGCGCGAGATCGCGCCTTTTACGCTTCGCAGTGAGAGGCGGAGGGTTCCGCAGCCGCGAAGTGCGCTCGTATCGTCGTCGGTGAGACGACAGTGCAACGGCGCGGGCGATGGGACGGGAGATTAATGAGGCTGTGTCGCCGACGCGCGTGGAAACCAGACACCTACGTTTCACCGGATATACATACGAGCCCCCGAGATCAACGCGCGTGGGCAGACGGGCGACAGATATCGTAATCACACACGTGGCAATTAAGAGTCGAGAGAAAAGTGCTGTCCGAACGGACCGATCGACAAACATTTTTTTGATCTCGAAATAACAAGGAGAATATATAGAGGCAGAAATATAATGTATAAGCAGCTGTGTGATTCTTGTAACGCTCAATTCTCCTTAGTAGTTTTTTTTTCATAATTGTTTTTTCTCGTATATATTTTTATACGCGGAGTGAATTTTCTCTTAGAATTTACCCCGAAAATCGTGGTAATCGTGGGGCAATATATGCTATTGGAAGATTTTTATAAAAGTTTCTCGGTTTAAATATTTATCACAATAAAAAATATTAATAATATATTGTACGTAGTACATAGTCGAACATTTTATATCTTATTTATATTTTAAATTCTAAGAGAACATTTTCTCTGTGTAACTATTAATTATATATTCATATTCAACTATTTAAATTATATTAATACCATTAATTCCAATTATTAATTATGCGTTAACAGCTGATGCGCAGCATAAATAAGTACGTTTTATTTATTTCAATATAAGTACGTTATGTAATCCCCCGTTAAACGTAAAACCATAAGAACGCTAATTGCCAATAACTTTACGTCAGGATTTCGATGAATCGTCTTTGCCTTTGCCTTTATGTACGTATACCGTATTTATACGCCGCAATTAAACAGCAACGCTGGCGAGGATAATCTCCGAAATTTACGAGTGTCTCCAAGATTAAGCCGCCCTATAAATTTAATCGAAACCGGCATCGGAATTGCCGGCGTCGGTTTTGCGATAGTCATTGCGCGTCTCTCTGCGAGCAAAATGTTTAATTGGTATTTGTTTGGTCCAAACGGAAATGTCACCGTTGCGAAACGCTCCGGCTCGTGAAAGTACAAAATGCTCGTTGGAAGGGTTTAAGCTCGTGACGCACGTATGTACCGGGTGTCTGGTTTAAGTCCGCCTATGGAAGCGGGTCAAGGTGGTAAGTCGGCTATCACGGCGACGGTGAATTGCGTAAGAAATCCGGCTTCACGTCGCACGGATTAGTGCAGCGGAAACGAACGTTATTGCACGCCCCAAAATGAATTTGTCTCTGTCACGTGTCGCGTGTCAGTGCTCTCGGATTACTTCCGTGTAAATGAAAATTAAAATATATCCTCGATATTCCAGGACACCTTGATTTTTCAAGAAAATCCTCATTTTCATCGTGACAGCTTTTTTTTTAACGGGATCCATAAACATCCCGCTCGCGACTTAATTGCCAAGCTGTATATATATCGCTGAAAATTGAAACGCTGCGAATGACGTGCTACCATTAAAAAAAAAATATTCCCCGGCGGAAGAATCTCTCATTACATTTTATCCGGCGACTGTGAGAAATTTCTTGACGTTATAACGCGCGCTATGTTTATTTTGACGAGCGTTTTCTAACGGTAGATCGAAACGCGATTGTTGCTCGCAGCACCTGTTTACAACGCGTATTTCATTAGCACGCGCGGTACGTCGCACGGTAAAGAATTTCGCATTCCATCCTGGCTGTTGCGGCTCTCGAAGCCGTCATCTCGAGAGGGCAAGGAACGGGAACGATAATTGAAACAACTGTGATCGGTAAACGCCTCGGTATACACACCACTCGACTGTGTGTTGTATGGCGGGTAATAGGAAACGCATTGTCCTCCAAAGCATCGACGTCGAAGAGTTTCCCGTGAACGTACGAGCGAGTTCTCTCTCTCTCTCTCTCGTTGTCGTTGTTGCCCGTGAAAGAAATTGGATTCAATGGAAATTGTGAAGCGGTCGCGCGGACGGTTGAAATTCTCGGTGCGTAATACCGGGAATGAGGGAGGACGATGTGAGGGTGAAACGAGACGGAGAG